ATTAGGGGAACTCAGGCATCCCTGATTTTGGGCGCACTGAGCTTTATGAGTAACCCTCAAAGATGGCGAGATGGGTGACCGGACTCGGCGTGTCTAGGGACTGCCATTTCCGACCGTTCGGAGGGTTAGACCGGGATTGACCCCCCGCGGAGAGGCATCAAGGGAGTTGACCTCGCCACAACGTTTTTGCAGCATACGACCGGCGCGAAACGGGGCCTCAAATTTTCGTCTATTTTAGTACCATAATTAAAGGTGGGAAGAGGGGCTAAGACCAATAGGCGAGAAGRGAAAGACGTAATATCCTYTAATTTCTTCTTTTTTTTACAGCATTTAAATCTAGGGGGAAAACCGTTGTTATTTTATTTTCCCGACATTTAAATTAAAAACGTAGAAAAAGATTAAAAATCATAAAARAGAATAGAAACACAAGGAAATCGGTCATTTATTTAAACTTTCCYGGGATTGAATTTTACGGAACTTACGATTTATTTACTATTTCCGACAACAGAATTAAGGAAAGGGGAGAATGATTAAAAACGATAAAAGGGACGGGAACCCATGACTATTGGGAGATTGGGCTAATTTCGCTTTGGTTACCCGCCACCAGCCCTGAGCCCGGATTGAGCATTTTTCCCGGAATTTTATCAGTTTCCACTACTGCCGATGGTCGAGGCTCCCTGCGTCGTTTTCGCTGGTTGCTTGATTACTAACCTTAACGCAGTTGGGATGTTCTGAGAGCGRGGRTCGCATGGACAGGTGCTGCCTTGGGTCGACTATGGTGTTTGGTGCGGTACGGATACGARGGTTGATACGGAGTGGTTACGTCCTACGGTGTCCGACGTGTTTCGAGTACGGTATAGGCCCGGTGACAGCTGTTTCACTAAGGTGACTTATTTTCAGGATCGGGACAGCTGTGGTGATTTGTTCTCAGGACAGGGGCCACTACAGGYTTGGAACCCTGACTGCAGTTCRTTTTCAGGTCACCTACGACGYGACTCCAACAGTTCAGTTCCGGAACGGCACCGACAYGACAATTTATTTCAGCGTCTGAAGCCATAGCCACTTTATTTTTCAGGTTCGAGATAGGACCGGTAATGAACGGTTTGAYAGTGGTRCTTTCTGGTGAAATCTGTTTCGGGCTGCTGTGTTTCACTCCATTGATGCTGGCGCGACACTGGGACTGGKTACTACGTCCTGTTCCCGTTCATTGGGGTTCGGATTTCAAGTCCGAAACAGGTTCGGTACTATCATGGTTTTTCTGATTTTCTACGGTATGCGGCGTCAATACGGTACGCGTCTCTGCGTCGGTTTCATGTTCGATATAGACAGCTCAGAAGACTTGTTTCAAGTAGTTGCTTCTGGAGCGGCATGACATTCTGGTTCGGGACACGTTCGGTGGAGCGTGGGTGTGGTACGGGCTGCTACGGCTCGGAACGGATGTTACAGGTTTCGGCTYCTTCAGTCTTGCGAGATCGTTTCAGGATCGACATTTGTCCTGGTTCCCTATTGGGTTGACAACGGAACGACCTGCAATACTCCGGATTGGTTTGTTCGGGATCAGTAAGTCTAAGCCTGATACARATCCGGTGGCACCGATGGGTCTGMAGTCGGTATCCCTGCACCTGCTCYTGAGGCCCTGGCATRAAGGGTCTCACWRTCCAGATTTGGTCCTKGATCAAAGYGGMAAGTGTTGGTAYCGGGTCTGTCTTTKAAAATGCGAGTGCACTGGTACTGGTGGCAGCGTCTTCTGGTACTAGAGGATATAGGCTGGGTGGCAAAAAGGAAGGGGGAGAGKGCACCAGGTGTACCCAGCCCGRGATCGCGTCTGAAGGAGGAAAGGTCAACGAGTCGCAGGGAATAGCGTCCCTGGCGTACACCTCAGSGAGCACAGCACGTTTGAGCAAGGGGGAAAGACACGCCAGGGAGGCGGCAGGAAGGAGGATGGAGTCAGATGAGACGGGGCAGTCTCTGGCGGCATGCGAGGAGTGCCTCATCCACGCCGCAGATACGGGCGAAGTGAACGGGGAACTCGGAGGGATTGGACGAAGGGGACTGAGGTTGGTAAGCATGGGATGCGCTGCCCATACGGAACAGACTAGCTGAAGGGGGAAGCTGTAA